GCTTCTTCGAATGATGCAGGATTGCTGAGGAGATGACAGTGAGGTTGTGAATGTTGGGCAACCATATTATGTATTCGATTGTACAAGGAGAGCTTTGCATAGGTCGCAAGATGGACTGGGTTCATTAGTAATCAAATAGGAGTGAGTAAGATGGAACTGTCCTATTCTGGCTCTGGCCTCTGTAAATTATTATACTTATAAGTTAAAATATATTTTATTATAAGTAGTAGCTGATCCTACGCACTTCATTTCCCGTAAAAAATGTGATTGTTCAACTCCTTTTGGTTGTAACTCTCTGTAAGTGCTACTCGGCCCTGGTAGGCAAATGGCGGACAATGGCCCAATAACCAATGACAACCAATATAAAAAAAAAATTACTCATTTCTACTATTAGTATTATCATCTGCAACCATTCATAAACAAATAAACAATTTCAATTTCCACCGTAAATCTTAAATGTATTGTTTGAGCACCTCTAATTCGACAATTTAGTATAGATGGATATAAACAATAATAAAAGGTTGATAAGTATACATGTATAAACATTTGATATGGGATGGGTATGATTATCACAACATATTAGGACTGTTATAAAATGTACCATACGCGATAGATGAACAAAAAACGTATAGTGTTGTTAAAATATTGTACGGGTTATATGATTTCATTAGTTCATTATATTATATTATTTTAAATACACAAACATTTGAGAGCTAATACCAAAGAATAACTATACTTGTATACCACGCCTATATATAATAAAATATTTATTTTATTATTTTAATTATTTTGTGGTTCTACTGCCTACAAACATTTGAGCAGAAGTTAATTATTTATTCTTTTTTTAAGGCATCAACTACATGGTTATTGCAAAATGCTAATGGAAAATTGGAAAAAATACTAAAATAAGTCAACAGTTTAAAATATTTATAAATACACCTAGATCGAAAAAGATACAAAATATTTTTTAATAGTATTTTGTCTTGAAAAAAAACTATCAGGACAAACATTTGGTAAAAAATACATTTCTCTAAAATGATTTTGCTATAAAAACTAAAAAAATACACATCGTTGTGAAACAAATACATTCATCACTCCAGTAGATTGATTTTTAACGATAATTAAAAGACATTACTGCAGATTGTAAGTCTTCTGAAAGCACATTCATGATATCCGAAGTTGTAACTAATCGTTGATCCACAATTCAATATTAAAGTTTCTCATTCAAGTTGTTTTCCAACTCAAATAAATTCTTTTATAAACTATTTTAAAAAATTACGTTATATTAAAAAAATAATTACCTAGACATTATTAAATTATAAAGTGACATTTAAACAATTTTTTTGTACCAGAAAATAATTTGTATTTAAGTAAAGTAATACCTACTAACGACGAAAATTCGCAATCGGAGGAACGCGAACAAACATATTACCTACACCGAATATTTCCTGGGCATCGAAAAAAACCTATCTGAAGTTTGTAGCATAGATATTATAAGATTATATCTTATTATAATATCTATCGTTTGTAGCCGGTAAATTTTATTTCCAAAATGAATAACGTCTCTACGTTAACGTTACCATAACCCTAATCGTTTTCTGCCGCAGCCATGTTTAAAATAAATTTTACTAACAAAACTCATTGAAATGTAGGATATTTACGGATGCAGTTTATGCTCATTCGTCAATATTGAATCATTAAATGTTGTGATTGTTTATGTAACCCAGCATGAGTGGCTTCATATAAAAATCTGTTCAGTCATTGGGTATATATGTACAAATTATTAACTTCTCTTCCTACGTATTGTTTACATTCAAAACTGTACGAAACTAATAGATAAAATATTTCACTTTAAAATACTTATATAAATAAGACTATTGATTATAAAATACTATAATTCTAGTAATATATATATAACAATATTATAGTATACCTAGTAATATATACATATGAATTGGCTATACGTATTAGAGATTTAAGTATACTTACACTTACCTAACAATATTAAAACTAAATATAATTCAAATTAACGTAATGTTAACTCTTTGTTAGGGTATGATATAACTTATAAGTACTAAAGTTCCTATGTCCTATATCGATAAAGCATAACATGACTAAAAATGTTAAGCAAGAGTATAATAGGTATTCAATAATAGATTCATAATATAATAAATAATAAATATTAATAGTTAATCATATATTATACATTTGTATTTATAATATTGTTTGATTATTCATAAAACATAGGTCACCTGTATAGTATTTTCAAATAATTAATACTGCCAATACATCATTTATTATATAAGTATATAACGCACATAAATTTAAATCAATAAGTACATATTATAACAAAAGTATACAATAAAAGGTAGGTAGCTTATGTAAAATAATGTTATTAATATTATTTAAGCATACAAGCAACCTAAAAATATAACATTTCTTGAAGTAGAGAAAATACTTAAAGTTTATGAATTTGATAGAGGGTGGGTACCTATTTAATTATTAATGGAAACACATTTAAAAACAAAACATAAAATATTTATTAAGCAATTTAAAAGTAAAACAATATAAATCGAAGAAATAACTGTATTGTACGTAAGAAACCCATTTTTCAAAGAGTATTAATGTTTTTAAAAATATTTTTTTACGTGGTTTCAAGTCGTTACAAAACAAAGTTTACAAAAAAAAAATTATATTTTTAAATATTTCTTATCCTTATAATTTTGTATTTTTTTTTTTACTTTTTTGAATTATAATATACAGTCTTAAATTCACTTTCGAAAGCCAACTATTTTTTTGAGTATTTCGGTACATACAAATCAAATTTAGCAAGAGTAGCTTATGAATTATAAGTATTTAAAGTTTGATGAGCGGAATAATGGACCTACATTTTCAGGGGTACTGCGTACCATTCCACTACACTAACTCATAAGCTTCTCATCCCGAACTTGATTTTTATGCATCGAAATACATAGAAAATTATTCTGCTTCAGAATATGAAACTAAAATTTTATATTGTCATTCAAAAAAGTTAAAACTTTAGAAAAATTGAGGATAAAAAATAATTTTTTTAACGACTAAAATCCATGTTAATAAAAATTTAAAAAACATTTATATTTTTTGAAATAATGAGTGTTTTTCAATGATAAAAGGATTACTCTTGATAAGTATAAATAAGTAATAAATAAATCCTGAAAAATATTATGGATTCATATGTTTTACAATATAACTTTAAATATCTCTAAAGATTGGGAAAAAGAGTTCTATAATCTACCATATGAAATACAATTTCTTTTAAATAATATGAACAGAGATTTAACTATAGTTAATAAAATCAAATTTTTTTTACACAGATTTTCAATTTAAAATGATTCAACGGATAACTAGATAAATATTAAATTGATGTAGAACATACATTTTAAATAATACAATGAAATATGACATGAAAAAAATTCATAACATTACAACATTAAAAAAAAAAAAATATTATTTATGTGTTTGTATGACATGTATATTGTATACATTACATAAAATATATAGAACATATTAACTTTACGTTATAACTCTTATAATGGGACATAATGTCATTATTTTGAGAGGACGTTACATAAGCATTTGTTGCCTCTGTCGTATATACTTCGGTATATTTATTACATTTAAATTTCTAATTTACAATACAGTTTTTTTGTTTTTAAAAGTAGAGTAAAATTATTATTTTCTACATTAGGCAAAGACAATAAGATTATCCCGCAGTTACTTTTCAAATGAGTTTTATGTTTTTTGTTTATTTATCTACTTGTAACAGTAAGTTGTAAGTTACTCTAAAATTTAATTTTAAAGTTAAAAAAATCAATTAAAAAGTACAAATAATGACTAGTATTGACTAAATTTGATAATATAGGTCAATTCACTCTAAATTTAAAAACAATACAACTAACTTGGAAATTCAGAATGTAAAATTAGTACCTACCTACATCAGACGTGTAAGACAATATTACATAAAATTAGAGTTAAGTGTCCTCTTAATGACTTAAGTTAACACCTTGTTTATTTTAAAAGGTATTTTAATTTAAGTATTAACAGAAGTATCAGTATCAACAGTTTAAAATAAATATAGAGTGAAAATTTGAGTACCATTGATTGTACTAGGTAACTTAATTTAACAAGATATACATTAAACTATTCATGAATCAACACTCATAAACAAATACTTGGTTTCCACAACGAGCTCTTAAAAAAATATCAAATTCAAAAAATAAAATAAAATAAAAAGAATGAATTTGTTTGATAACTAACTTTAAGCTCCTAAAAAACTGAAAAAACATCAGGAGATTTTTTCCATTTAGAGGAGGTCCGTTATAAGAAGGTTTTACTGTATTCATACCATGAGCTTTTCTCACATGGTAACTCAATTTCCATTATTTTAATTTTTAAGTATGTGCAATATGAATGATAAATCATCAATCTAGAGAAGAGTGTTCAGACGTTCAGTATTAAATATTAATAATATAACAGTAAAAACATTTACATTTACCAAACTCATAATAGAATACTAAATATAAAATAACTGTGTTGTCTGATTCAAACTAAATAAATATGAATGCGTATAGGTTATTTTTTCAATAACAATTATTGAAACACTTATAAATGAAAAAAATGTTTTAATTTCTAAATCATCTAAATTGCTTGATGAGATACAAGTTTTAAAAACAAAAATTATATCAAAACAGATTAATTAGAAATTAAATTCAAATTTTTAATAAAATAATCAAAAGAAAATTAAAAAAAAATATATTTTGTCATCAAATTTGAACCTGATATGTTTTCTAAAAAAAACATAAATATAATTACCTAATTAACACATAATCAACCAGACATACATAAAACTAATAATGCTTTAAAAAAGATATTTATTTCATAATAATTTAGGTTAAAAAGGTTCAAAAAGCTTATATTTTTCAAAACTTACTTATATAGTTATATAATACAAATATTAACACAAATAACACTAATAATATTTATTTTTTATAAATATATTAATAGTATATACCATTTTTATTGCTCTAATTTTTTTGATTTTTTATCTAAGGATCGGACTTTGTGAAATTCTCTTACAAGTGAACTCACAGCTTCTTCATGTCCTTCAAAACTATCGGCTTTTCGTAATCCGTCTTGAAAAGTATTGAGATCGAATTGACTACGAAAAGATTCTGGATCACGACAAAATTTACTTGGCTCTGGAGTAATTGATTTCTTTCGAGTTGGAAATGTTTCCCATGATCTTTGCTTCCGAACAGGTCCTGTTTTTTTAGACCGACAACGGACTGAATTTGTCGTGCGAGTACATTTTTCGCCCTCGGGAGAAGTAATGTGACTAGAAAAAGATTTCAGAAAATGTTATGTTTTAAAGACATTCAAATGTTTACCTCTAAAATATTTTTAATATATTTTATAATTTGATTAACGGTATTTGAAACTTCATACTTATACAACAATTATTTAAAGCATAATACCTAAATGCTCAATCATTTAAGATCCTAAAAAAAACCAATAAACCGATTTTAGTATTTTGAAATTATTGAGTTATCAGACATCACTAGGCTAAGGTTCACTCTAGTCTCTAAGTCCAAACTATGAAAAGATACAATCTTAATATACCTATTACTGACGTATGGCAGGTATTACGAAAACAGTATTTAATACCGTATTAGTGATAAGACTGTAAAACTATAAAAGTACCTATTTTAAATTTTGTTGTAACTTTTTTCAGCTGCCTCGTGCAACAACTGAATAAGTATAAGTCGTTGATAAAGGTATTTGCATTTGTATTTACTTATTCGGGAGACAAATTACTTATATGATAAAGATAAATTGCATGACTCCTTTAAGTTAAATTTGTGTTGAAGGTGTAGTTCTAATTCTTAAATTTTTAGTACAACATCGTTATATTATTGATACACAGTAAATTAATTAATTAAGAAAATATTATAAATTATATTAAAAACATAAATTAATTTTAAGGTACTATGCCTAAAACAGTTATAATTTCTTAAAAGGTTAATATTATTTTTTAAGCCTTTACATAAAGCTATAGGGTTATTTAAAGACCTTTTGAAACCAAAAGATTCATAACATTAAAATATTAAATTAAAGTTACATTTATTTATTTTTTAAGTATAGAGTATTTAGTATTAGTATTATTATTTTTTTATTAGATTAGAAAACCACGAAAATCCTCTGATAAAAGGCTTACATATCCCATCATTTCCTGAAAATCCTCGTCGTAGGCTTAAAAGAAAATGGTTTAGATATCTTATAACTTAATCCTATAATATCGACAATTCCAAGTTATAAGTGATACTAATGAGTAGCTCTTTATTCACTTAACCTCAATAATGTTATTTTGTATTCCCTTCTCACATATACTCCTTGTGCTTCATTGCATGGATTGTAAAATTCTTAAAAAAAAATAAATCTAGTATCATAATTATGTTTACATATCGGAATAATCATATGCGTGCGCACAGGGGTAGTGGGCGTGCTCTTTCTACCTCTGAACGGTTCAATTCTATTTGTAAGAGGCCATACAGGTTCAACTGCCCAAGCTCGGTTACCACTACCCTATACTAAAATGTATTATCAACAACTAGTTAATAATTTTAGATATTTTTCTTAAATAACATGCTAGGTATATGTTATTTATATTTCCTAACCGAAACGACATAGATTCTTGGTACATAGCACCATCTTCGGTGTCCGAATGTGGATATCTCTTATATTTTCTCGGTGCAGCTACAGGTATAGGCATAGGATCTTGTACAGGTGGGGGCATTGGTTTCTTGTGAATTCTTCCTCCTTGTTTACGACAAACTTTTGGTCCTTCACAACTGATCGTTTCAACTTCTCCAATCATTCCTTCCATATATTCAAAAGTTTTTTTATGTTCCTGCTTTTGATATCCTAAAAAATGTAAACAATTTGCCAGAAATTTATTTTAACAGTTAATAGTTAGTAATTAATTATAATAATTAATAGCTATTTAATAAATGTTAGTATCAATTATTGTTTAATAGGATGTCAGTATAGACGTTACCTACATGATAAACAACGATTAAACCCGTAACAAATTCTTCAGATAATATAATATAGTTTGCAATTACTAATAAAATAGAGAAAAGTTTAATTTGATTTGTTTTTTAAAATATATATTTCTTGTATATTTATGTTATACCACAATATTAATTATCCCCCATTCTAATTTTTTAAATTTGATTTTTGAACAGTAATAAGGTGCTAAAGTATTTAGTAACTTTTGTAAATAAACTCAAAAAAATGTATATTTTTGAGGTAAATATGGTAAAATAATATCTTGTATGATGTATATCATAATTTATGAATAACAAACTTACTTGTCCAAAAATCAACTTAGTCATATCAAAAAGCAAAATAATTCATCATAGCAATACAATTTTTATATTACCTTTATCGTCATCTATGATCTCAAGTTCAACATTCAGTTTTTTTTTCAGATGATCTTTTAAATATTCTCTTAATTTATCACACATCATTTCAGTATTTAAATCCTAAAAATACGTTTAAATAAATATTTTTAGTGTCTAACAAATAGTCTACATATTAATTTGCATAGTAGTATATTATAATACCCTCTCGTGTATATTTGAAGTCGATTGAGCTGCAAGATGTTGCATATCACGAATATCTATCATTTGGTATAAAGAGCATGCTCTTGTATTTTTTACGCATTCTTCGCCTACAACTATTAAATAACTATTAGATAAAATAATAGGAGTATGTCGTATGTATAGTGTAGGTACCTATATGTAGTTATATTTATAGTTAAAAATCTATAATACTAGTCCTACCGTTTTTTGGTTTAGATCTAATTGGACAATCTTTTATACGGCCTTCAGACTTGCTTCTCTCTCTAAATTCTTGAAACGTTTTATCCCGTACACAGACTTTGTCCACTATATGAGATAACACACTCTTAGTAGATTGTGTCTTATGAAAATATAACATTTGTTGATCTTTTTCTCTAACCGGAGTTTCTGGTCTATTATCTTTGGCGTATATTGTGTCAGATAAAGGTGACGAACTGCTCATGCAGTGAGATTCCATTTTGTGGCATCCCATTGGAAATCTACACAATAAGATAGTAACATATATTTTATTATTGGAAAATGTATAAAATGTATTGATGTTTAATATAAATGTAGTTCGCGCATTTCATTATATATGCAGTATATTTTACATATTATGTTGTATTGGTAAGATATTTAACCTTTGGGTTTGCTGAAGTGAACTTAGTCGATCCAATAAACTCTTTAAATCTGCCATTTCATTATTATTTGGTTTAGATGTCAATCGCTTGACATAAGGATCTAATTGCTGAGCCAATGTTGCTAACTGTTTAACTTCACTTTGCAAATTTGTTATATCAGTCATCTAAAGAATCATATAAGCAATTTATTTAAACAATATTAATCTATGAATTAAACATTTGAAACCATTAAAACATACTTGTGACTGGAATATATCTTGTTCAACGTGAATTCTATACAATTGTTCTTGCCAAATGGTTTGAAACACCGATCTCAATCTTTCTAGTTCTATTCTATTTTTATCAAGAGTATCATTTAAACGAAGACAATCTCTAATAATATTTTGATGCCTTAAGATCAAAGGAGGCACAGCAGGAGATTTAGTACCTTGGAGAGCTCTTACTTCTCTCTGTAATTCATTTAAACGGTCTTTCACACAACTCAATTGAGTACCCAGTTCCTAAAAAAATATTATTTTTATTTATAATATTAATTTAATAACAGACAATATGCTACTTATCGTAAAATTATGTCTATAAAAAAATAGTACACGTGCAGTATGCTACCTACAGGAAAATATGACATACTTTTCTTGTTTATGTTATAATTGTGTTTAATTTTATTAGTTAACACAAACGTGTGGGTACCCGTGACTTGACGCTTAAAGATAAATAATATATTATTATAACAACTAAATAGCAATTATACTGGTAAATATCCACCAACACAAACATGAAACAATAACTTAATTTTGGATATTAAATTATTTTAATCTGTGTTGTGTTCTTCCACCTTGCTGTGTTAAGCAACAGGTTTGTTCAGACCACCAATTAAAAGAGAAATGGTGGAACTCCATTAAAACACAACATAGAAGATTTTTAATATATATTAGCTACAAACGTCAAAGTAAGGATCACCGTAGGTACTCCATCCTTATCTATACCTCTAACTACGATTCAAGAGAACGTACACTTGGAGTGTCTGGACAAAAGACGACAGTGCATTGATATTTGCTTCATGACCAAACTATATCTTGTTCTGAGCTTCTGAATTTAGTACAGTTTCGTGTCCCTCAATACTTGCCTCGATCCTGTCCTACCTTCTCTATAAGACACCACCGAACATCATATGGTTTTAATAACTCAATCGATCGCATTACACTCAAATGCAATCGATTGGAAAACTTCGACATATTCAATATAAAAAGCATGTCATACCTAAAGTTATAAATGTATGAACATATATTTATATATTTTTCTTTTTTCATGTAGTTCAAGTACTTTAATAGCTTATGTATACTTTACTACATACTAACATACTAACCGTCAACTTATTTACACTTTGTACCTACTTTGTTTTTTTATATCGTTCTCGAGCCTTCACATGCATTTATACAAATAAATAAATAAATAAACACAATAATTTATTTGAAGTTTTTTGGAATGCGTAAACACAGCATAAGTAACCACGTATAATGTATTAAAATACTTGACAACGATGATAATCAGCGATATATTAAGACAATTTTAGTTTAATAAATTGTTATTATAATCACTATTATCAGTATGTAAAAAATTTTAAACACCTGTAAACTTGTTTGGTAGGTAGGTACCATACTATACTAACGAAGTAGAAGTAGCCAGTAGGTCGAAGGTAGCATACTACAAGATTACCCAAAATATATTTAATATTACTAAACAACGCATATTACAATATTAATGAATTTACCTTGATCTGAGAATCAAAACTTCGACAATGATTAGAAAAAGTACCTTCGCCTTCTAAAGCTTTAGCTTTAAGAGCAGAATGTTGTCTTTTACTAGGCAATGTAGACTGTGATAGGTTTAAGTTTTCTTTAGACTTAGCTGCCAGACTGTTTATATTTTTCGATGATTCATATATACCAGAGTCCATTACATCTGATTTACCAAACCATGGTTCCAAACACTGAGCAAACTCTGAACGGTAATTCGTTTTTATTGTACTGGTCAATAAAGGCCTGTAAACGAATATATAACTCATTAGTCATTGTTATAGTATTACATGATGGATTTATGAGAATTTATATCAGTTACTTTGTCGGCTGTGGAATTTTCACAATAGTGTTTAATCGATCGAGCATTAAAGACACAATCTCAAGAAAATGATACTTATTTGAAGTTGATACAAAATTTCTACAAAGAAGAATGTGATGTTGCAAAATTGGAAGCACTGCACTTAAAGTCAAAAGCTGATTACGAAAAGCTCTCTCTTTTATTTCATATTGTCTGCAAATAAAAATAAATATAAAATAAAATATTGTAATTGTATAAGAAATATATAATTTGTAGGAACAGAAAAACAGCGTGAATCTACAAAACTTAGCCTCGTGCGGCAATTAATTATGATATGACTACTTATTAATGGGTGCTAGTTAATTCTGCTATTAACAATAAAATACACTAAGATTCATGTTTCAAGTGAGAATCACAATTGACAACTGGGTACCTATATTATATTATGCGGATTATAAGTAGGTAAATACCTAAAACTATAGTGGCTATGAGGAATAATTACTTAAATTATGCCTAAAACTAAAATAATATTATAACATTAAATTATTTGTTTTGTTCTTGTATTCTTGACTCTTGTTGTCAATCAGTAATAACCAATTATTATTGGGTTAAATAATGATTAATTACACAAGTAAAGTTATAACAGAGTCTAAATAATCTTTTAGAAATTTAGAATAATGGGTAAATAATTAGTTATAGGTAATATTAACTTTAAAAAAACTACACCATGTATTTATTGTTTATTCTTTAAAATAAATTATAATATATATTGTTTGATATTTCCTATGATAGCCGATAGGTACAAAAAACATACCTAAAAAATATAATAAGTATTTTGTATTTATTGATGCTTCACAGTTCACACCTCTTTTAATGCAATACACCAACACATGTAAGAATTTAAATAGATAAATAATAATAAATTAAACTTCTTAATAGTCTATGTTCACACACCTATTGAAGTTTTTATCATGTATTTAATAAATATAAAATTTAAAAGTATAAAAAAGTTCTTTCATTTTGAATAGGTATATTTTTCGTATATTTTAGAAGAATAGTTAAAGTTTGATAAAAATTTACTATAAACTATCCCAAAAAAAAAATAATAACTCAATTAAATAGCTGAAATTTATTTTGTTTTGTCGTATTATTTTTATTTATTACGTATCTTGTATCTATGTACCACTGAACCAGATAAAAGAAAGGCGGCTGCACAATAATGGTCTAACCACAGAATAAGCCAAAATGTACCCTATTACTCAGATCACAGAATAGTGTCCGACTAACAACATTTTCGTCATATGCGGGCAAATGTATACGAGCACTTTTATAGATATTAGAAAGTCGTCTATTTATCTTAATTTTGTAAAGAGTGTGTTTTTTTTCCCAGTCAGACATTTATCGAAGATATTTGGCTATGTCGGCTTTAGCTTTTAGGTATGAGCTCTTGTTTAAAGTACTCGTGGAGTCGTGGAGACTGACCTTGGCGGAGAGGGAAAGTCGTATTGACAAATTTATTTTCGTTAATTTTGACATGCTAGTAGGAGTTCAAGATATTTTGAGAAGGTTTTAAAGATTCGTTGAGACCATGAGGGTACATAAGGATCAACAGAATCATGAATGGAGTAAATCACTTTGCCATCAGCATAATCGATTACAGCTTACAAGCGTTTATGGGTGCGTGTACGATGTACGTAGGTTGGTCAAAATAGTTCTAAAAGTTGAAAAGTGATGTGCATGCGGACTGTTGCACCTTGGAGAACACCAAACGTTGGCTAATATTGGAGAGATACTAGAGAGTAGTGGAGAGCTCTAAGCTTGATCAGACAACATATACACTTAAATAAAATACTTATATATTTGAAATTTGGCGTTCAAGAATATTCTGTAGGCATATACACAATATGCCACTAAAAATTCGTTAATCTATAAAGGTTAGACGTTCGATTACGACCATACCACGTATTACCCCGTAACAGAGTCAGCAAACTCGACACGAGCTGGTGGGTAGGTAGTACTAGGTACCAGCATATTATATATTTATATCTATTCTACTTTAGTTATATTAGAAGGTTAGGTTAAGTACCTACCACTGCATCAAGTGTGTCAGCTCGTTGCTGACTCTGATACGAGTAGGGCGAGTAGGTAGGTATTATGTTATACTTAATATTTGTCAAATAGGTATTAAAAAAATAAACTGTCTTATTAAAAGAATTAGCTTTGACAACTCATAGAAATATTATATAGCTAAAAAAAAGTATCACTACCTACATCCTACCGTTGAATAAATGAAAAATGAATAATACAATTTAAGCGATACAAACTGTTTAGAAATAAAATATAAAAAAACAATATGAATCGTTTATTTGTGAAAGGGGTTAAATAACAAAAATCAAATATTAAGAAAACTGAAAAAATTAGTTCAATTTTAACGCAGTTTATAAAATAACCTAAATAATATTTAAACACTCTTCCACCCATATAAGTTTATTATTGCGACAAAACACAAAATGTACAATCAATTTTTTAAAAATGAACAATGGATCTATAATAATAGGTATTATAACCGTATAGGTAGGTACAACATATTCTATTATAATGGTAACTAGACCAAAAATGTTTGTTAACTTAATATATTAAATAAACGATTCATATAATTTGTATTACCTACATACAAATATTATAGTACTCAATGTTTTTACCTAATATAAGCAATATGGTAAGCTAGTAAATAAGTACGAGTATACATTAAGAATATTATTATTTATTACCTACATAAAAGTTATTGATTTTAACGCTTTTCAAATTCTGTTCAGCTCAATAATAATAATAGACCGAAAACAATATGTAAAATGTATTATAATAATTAATATTACCGTTGGACTTCCAAATGCATATCGGTTTGTATTTTGTTGATGGCGTCGTGGAGCGTTTGGACGAAATTGTGTATAGTCAATTTCTCCGTGTCTGTATTTTGCCGCAGTTCTTCAAGGAGCGTGTGACATGCCACTACGCCCTCGCGAATTGTACTCTGCATGTCGTAGACCGACTGAAACATATTTTCGAATTTATTAGCACACGTGTTTGACGACAACAGACTCAAAAACCACTTACTAAAAGTGCTCTATCTAATTTTTTCAAGTTTTGATTATAAGCTACGTCTATGTCTACGCATGCCTTGCGACTCTCGGGAGGCTTTTCGCGTACGCAACTGGTACAGATCACGTGTTTCTGAGTACTCGAAAAATAGCTGATCTTTTCGTCGTGCTTTGGACACTACGGAAACGTTTTTAATATATACAGTTTATAAACAATATCACTTTTCATACTAGGTTCCTTTACTTATTGTTATATTTACAAGTATTAAACAAACGTCCATAGAAATATTAAAATATCCCATGTCTATGATATTTTATTGATATTTTTAATGTATTTATTATTATAGCATCCATATAAGCCCGGATTGAGAAAGGGGTTTACTTAAAGAGTAAACAACCGGATCCTCGTGTTAAAATGTCAGTTAAAAAACGTTTTCATATCAATAATATTAATTGTGGTTCTAATAAAAAAAATGTTGTGGGTACATATTAAATAGCAGCCATGTAGAAACTTAAAAGGATATCACCAAGTTGTATGCTATATTTGTACTTGTATATACCTTTATGATAATATAACCATGAATTCTGATAAAACAACATTTATGAAACTATCAATAAATAAGATTGCTAATGACGATTGTTCATTAATAATTCATAATTGCAATAATAAATTGATATGCAGCAGGCTAAATTGCAAACAAATTAATCAAATATCTAAAATTAGATATTTGGGTATTATAATCGATAATAATTTGAGGTGGAATTACCATATAAACAATTTAGTAGGTAAACTTCGTTATTCATTATACAAATTCATTAAACTAAAAAATATTTTACCAATAGAAACTTTACGTATGATATATTTTGCCTTTTATCAGTCTATCTGTCAATATGGTCTGTTAGTATGGGGAGGTGTCAAAGAACATTTTCTAAAGAGTCTTCAATCCAATCAAAATAGTGTTTTACGAATAATATTAAAGAAGAAATCATTAATAGGTTCTACAAAAATAAATTATATTACTTTAAGTGTTCTTCCAGTAAAATTCTTATACAGGAAATTTGCAATTTTATTCATTATAAAAAAAATAATTAATCTAAAAAATAAACCACCTTTTTCACAAGTAAGAGAAAATAGAGCCTATAATTTACCCATAAAATATACTAATAAATCATTTGGCCAATCTTTTGTTGACTATCTAGGCTCAACTTATTTCAACCAGATGCCTATATTATACAAAAAAAATTTTCATGAAGGTAAAGTTAATGTGAAAAAAGCAGTCTATAAATGGCTTTTCTCAGTTTTATCAACTCACTAAATAAGTGTCCGTATCTAGATGTTTTGGATTTTTTTTCTTTTTATACTTAAATTTTGTTTTCTTTTATTTTAATACGATTGATTTTTGCTAATTACAAATATATTGATATACCTTAATTGTTTTCTTTTTTTATACATGTTTTACAGGTTTTTTACTAAACTATGTATAACTTTACACTCGTGTTTATTTTATATTATTCAAATTATGTAGTAATCAACTATTAGATTTACGTTCACGCTTTTCAGTCTTATGATAATATGTATTGATATTTTATTGTTTATTAATTATTTTATCTTATATTTTTTTTAATTGTAGATTTTTATCTGTCTGTCTCTGATATGAAATGAAGTATCTTATTTATTTATTTCTATTGTTAAACTCTCTGCTCCACCACAAGCTTGCTTAAAGGAGTAGATATATTAAAATCTTTATTTGTATTTATATTATATATATATATAATGTTAATGTATTATATCTAATAAAGATTTAAAAAAAAAAAAAAAAAATGTCTATTTTCTATGGTGGACTCCAAATAAAAAAAATAATATTGATGAGTAGTGGACCCCCAGACAACACCTTAACAAATGCCTGGGCAAGCCACTGGATATACAACAATACTGTAATCAATAATAATAAGCATTGAAATATGCTGTTATTTCAAAATTGCAATATTTATATGTGTCTTCTTTTTTTAAATTATTACTATTTGTCGTGTTTTAATATGTAATTTGTAGGTATTGCTCATAATTCTATTGTTTATAACTTTCTATGATATTTTCTAGCGTATCTAAATAATTTAGGCTTGTGAATGTGTCATAGTCACACACTCACACAACTGTCACAACTTCGCAAGTATTTAGGCACTGTTTGTCTGTTTAGCATTTATTATATTTATATGCGCAGTACACTCCATACATTTTATCTTCCTAATATTGTGTCGAGGGGTGGCGAAGGTAAAAAAAAATACCCAATTCATTTCACATTTGTTGTTGCTTAATATTGTAATCCGAATCTTAATATTCACTCCATAGTTACGCTTCAAGGTCAGAGACCAAGTATTAGCTTCTTAATGATCCATGGACCTCTAGAGCAGTGGTCTTCAATTGTATTGGACTTGGGACTCATTTTAGTTGTTATTATATTTTTATATATATATATATCAATACTATGTGTTATAACTAAAAGCGGACCAATTTTTAAATATTTAGGATGATAATTAATTATTATTATTTTATTTATTTGTATATATTATTATGACATAAACTGCGTGGTTATTAGCAGAGTTTTACAGTGGGGGGTGGTACGGTTGGGTCTGAACGTGTGTACCTACGTGTGGCAAGGATTTGTTGCTAAAAATCCTGAGTAGTCACCCATCCGGGAACTAGTACCAACGGCTGGTGAGTACACTCAGAGCGCGTACACAACTGAATGTAGACACTGTGAAACATCAAGAAACAAATAATTATTATTAAGTTCATTTAATTCGCTTTGTAAAATTAAGTGAAATACGTTTAAAGTTTTCAGCCATGTACATAAGTATATTTTTTGATTATTATAAAAATATATCACGACCCAACAGCCACCATTTAAAGATGATCACTTGGTACTCTAAAGGATTTAATCCGAGCTTATAGTGGTATACTGAAATAATATGCGTTTTTGAGCATATTGTGAGGCTTACTATTTCTGTTTTGTCAGCCAAGCGCTTGGACATTTGCACTATGTCATGTGACGAAAACATTTTTGCACGGTGAGTGTTTTCTCGGCAAGGCTTGCACAAAGCTTGACCTACAAAGCCGATGATAATTTTTTTTTAATGGGTACAAATACAGTGTAAACCCTCTACTCACCCAAGGGTATTGGGTGAATAGGACGTGGGTGGTTTATTATAACACACACAGGCTTACCACAAGTGGAGCAAAAATACATTGAGGACGGATCGCGTTTGTCGCAATTGGAGCAAGGGGGGTTCTCGACGTTCACCATATCAATCAATTTGCACATCAAATAGTCGGGAGGTGGTAACTGTACTCCTTCTTTCAACGTTGTTTGTGTTCTAAATTGGAAAATAAATTATAAATTATAATATACATTTATAACTTTTTTTTTTAATCATAATCATAGTATTATTATTATGTATTAATAAACTTATAAGTTTTAAGTATAATATAGACTACACTACTTCAGCGCACTGAACGAAAAATCCTCTTCCATATTAACAACACAAATTTGTCAAATTTTGATAAACCATATTATATGTACTTATATTAAAAAATAAAAATATTGTTAACATGAAAAATAATTTTGTCAAAATGATATACCGTGCATAATATTTACAAAATTAATTTATTGATTTTTGCTAGAAAAAAATATTATTACTCCAACAGTTATTTTATAAAAACAATAGGTAGACGATTTTGTAGTTTTTATAAAAATAATTTTACAATAATAATATAGTTACTAAAATAGTGTTTGAGATATTAACAAATACTTTTTATAATATTAACATAATTATCCTTGTTGTGATGACAATTATTTTGTACAAATAATAAATAAAAAATATAATTCTTTATGTATTTTCTTTTTAAAATAAAAAAAACTTTTGAAAATGAAAGAGTGGCAGGGGCGAAAAATAAAAATAATTATCAATAAAAGTTGACCATAATATAATATATATGTTGAACTTGATTAGGCTAGGCCTGGAGATGTGTACTGGCGTAATGTGTTTTGTAATTTGTAGTAAACAGTAATGCGTATATTTTAGTCATATTGTTCCCATGCATTTGTTATTTAGTACCTATGTACAGTTTAAAAGTTATAAAAGTTAAAACACGGATTATATGAAAATTATTATTTATCTTATTTAATCGGTGGGGGTGGTTATAACGTCTATATATCTAGATATCTATAGCACGGCAAAATAAATTATTATTTTGTTTATTTATTTTGTCATCAAGTATGCACCTATAGTTATTACTGTAGAGACCGGATTCTCGTGCAGTTGCAACTTTTTTTCCTTTGCTTTAAAACATATAAAAATAAATTAAAAATCCGAATTACGAGAAGTAGATTAATTTAAACGTAGTTTTATTTTGCACGAAATTGCACGTTTTACACTTTTTATTCTAAATTGCACGATTTTGATTTTCGTTACATGAAATTGCATAATATTCTGCATTTTTAAAATTAAACTAGATAATATTTCAGTTTTCAACTGTACAAAAGGAAAAAATGAACACGGGCTGATAATATTGTTAGAATAACATCAATTTATTAGTGTTTCGTGGTAAAAATAAATGACAGCAACTACTAGTTAGATAATAATTTGGAATCCCCAGCCATTAGCACTTTAGTTCTGTCTGACTTTGTGTTTGATTGAGTGTTTCTTGAATCGGTTAGTGCAATTCACGTTGGTGTCGTGATTGTTTCGTTACGAATAATTTACGTAAAGAAGTATAAACAAATTTTAAAAATGCCAAAAATTGGGAAATTTATCCTTCAATAAGCAAATTGAAATTGAAATATTTGAAACTATAGGAGAAAGTCTTAAAAAAATAAATAACGAGAAAGGAAAAATTATGGATCACAAATTTAACTCCTTCGTGGAAAAGAACACAGGTTACGCTCTCATAAAAAAAATACGACTGCATAAATGGTACGAAAAATATTAATGTTGAACAACAGCCTGCAATCGTCGCTTGCTACAAAATGAGTCCTATCATTTCTGTTGAATTAGAACGAACATTTTCCAAATTAAAAGACATATTGAGTGATAGAAGGCACAATTTTTCTGCAAACAATTTTGAAATGTATAACATTGTAAATTTTAACTCAATAAAAAAATTAATTATTTTATGTATGTATAATAGTTAAAATTAAAATTAAATAGCTTAACTCTGTTGGTATGGTTTTTTACACAATGTGTATATTTTTATCAATCTTTTAATTATTTTTTAATTATTAATTGCTAATCCTGTAATAGAGTAAAAAACTGGATAAATAAAGTATAATTTAAGGGTTTAAATCAATGTACCTACTTTGAATGTTTACAAAATTTTGGTAAGTATTAAGCGATTTTAGGCAAAAAATACATTTTTGTATGATTTAGGCACTTAATTGCATGTTTTAGCTATTTTTAAGTCATTACTGCACATTTTTTTGATTTTTACTGCATGAAAATCCGGTCTCTAGACTTATAAGTTTAGCCTGAAGATGGTTTTCAACTATTTATTATAAGTACTATACTACTATCCATGGCTGAGTGGGATCCGGCTCTAAACGATAAACAAATAACGGAATAAACCAATGCTTCAAAAGGATATAAACACCGATGCTGAACAATAATAAATAATAATTAATAATCGGTAGGTATGTTATAAATAAGCAACGTTCTATTTTTGAAGGCCACAAGTCAAAAACAGATTGTACACAATTTTTAAAATTAAAATATCAAAAAAGGGATCCTATCCTTCGATATCAGTCTTATTCTTATATAATATAAATTTGATAATAAAATATACAGAATAATAATAATCTGTTAAAAAAATATTAGTGTTAAATGTATTATTATTTATTTCCAAAGTTTGTCCAAGTTGTGCGTTTGGAATGCGGAAATGAAATTACTCGACCATGAGGTGCCGGGTGGCGCGTCTACTACGTTATCTGTTAATGATCAATAAATAGTTTTCAACTATTTTGTCTTATAGTGGTTATTTGTGAATTTTCGTCGTCTGTTCACGGCATCAATAATCTATCGATCAAGATTCAGTTACTTATTCATCCACTGTATCGTATATTCTGATATCGGCGGTGATATCATTTAACACCAGTACTTACAGGATAACACAATAACAGTAAAACACGTGATTCATTTTTGTCATATTCTTGATATTAACTCTGACGAATGAGCTATTGTATACCTATTTAGTAATTAGTTAATATTTTAGCCGTGAACAGTGAACACCAGCGGTATAATCGACTTCTAAGAAGATAATGTAAGTAACGAATATTTTATTACAATTACTACAAATTACAATTATACTTGAATAGTTGAATGGAAACTAGTTACTTATTAATTATTATTGTTGCGTGGGTGTTCAAACATCCGTTCAAGTTTTCAATTGTTAATATTCCACTTCGTAGTAAGAGTAACGAAAGTATCTAGTAATTATCAAGCTTGATTACCTATATACATTGTTATGTATATTATCTGTTATTATTTTTTATTATTAAATATTTGTTGTTTGCACATCAATATTCCGTTAGAATGGCCACATAATTTTTCGATTTACTTACCCATTTATCTTAGTGTATATTGAGCCCATGCTTACCCTTTTCAACTTAATTTCTATTATATAATTATATATATAGTTAAAATTGAAATATAGGCAGGTAAGTATTAATATTGGAAATAATAAGTGTACAGTGTACTGTCTATTGTTCTAGTGTCCACTGTGCAATTATCTATAACCAATGCCATTACATTTTTTTTTATAACTCATTGAAAATTATTATTTCCATCACATATTATGTGAATTTATGTCACCATAGTATATACCTATAGGTACTGAATAATATTCCACCCATCTTAGGTGTACTTTTTTTGGTAATTTATAGGATGCTAATGCTAATACCAATGTGTTATAAATTTAGGTAATTTGGTAAAATAAAATTAATATAATTGAAATCTGCTACAACTAATATTTAATTATCATAATTTGCCTAAATTGTACTTAGCATAGGTACCTAATTCATTGAAACATTTTTATGATTTATACTTTAATACCTTATTAAAAAGTTAGTTTGAATAGGTGCATAATATACTGGTATTAATATGGACTAGGTGTCTGCTATTATCCAATTGTATAGGTACCTATAAATAATTAAAAAAATATATTCTTTTACGTAATAATATTATAGGAGTTTCTTGTAATTGTTACCTATTTATTATGAAGTTTATATATTATGTAATTTCATAATTTAATATCATTTATCAATATTAAAATAATAAAAAATAATTGAAATTGTATGAATTATTTTTTTATTTACAGATTTAATTGAAAGTATCTAAAATGAAGAGATCTAAAGTAAAAAAAATTATTCTCGCCAATCGTGTCAAATGTTCTAAGAGCTCTCAAATATGTTACTTGTGTGATGCTATAAAACAAACGCAGAAAAATTACAATTTATCTTCATTACTGATGACTGTCCGCCAATGGGATACTAAAGGATCAAGTAAAATAAGAAGAAGTATTAAGAACTTAAAATGTTTTGTATGTAATTATAATTCTAATTGTTTTAATAAATGGAAAGCACATATCATGTCAAATGGACACATGTCTATGTGCCACACCTTAAACAATGTGTGTTCATACTTCTGTGAAGCTTGCAAAACATTATTTTATGGCTCCGAAATGTGTATAAGTCAACATAAAAAAGATGTGCATGGTGGCCAAAGTAATTTGTCTGGTGTATCAATATTAATGTCTGAATTGATGAATTGCTTGGATATTCATTCAAAACATATCTATTTTTGTAATTTGTGTAATATCGTTTCAGAAACACCAATTCATACATCTGGGAAACATTTTAATAATCAAAAATTGTATGATTGTAAATATTGTAATACCACATTTCTTTGTAAAGCTGAAGAATTAGATTTTCATGAAGCTAGTGTGGAACATTTAACATTTAAATGTATTTATTCGATAAAAGAAGCCATTGAAGTAAACCGTTTGAAAATACAAAAACAAAACCAAGTTACAAAAAATACACATGATCTTCAAACAAAAGCAAAACAATTAGAATTGCCATTAATTATATTGGACAGGTTTCAGAAAACTTCAGAATCAATGGCAAAATGTAATTTTTGTAATGTTATTATTTGCTGGAGTACTCAAAGAATAACTAAACATGTAAATATATGCTTAAATAAAGGCAATTTAACATCAGAAATGCATGAAAATTTGATCACAGCTTATGATTGTGAACTATGTAATTTTAAAACAAATTCTTTCTTTAGCCACAAACTTCATGTGATTTCACCTATACATCTCAACAATTCCCACAAAAGTGGTGATTTCTATTCATATTTCTGTACTATTTGCCATTTATACATTTATGCTTCCAAAATTCAAATTAACGATCATTTGAAAAGGAAACATAAAACAAAAATGACTGGCTTGCCTTTATTATCTAAAGTTTTAAAAGATAATTATAAATACATAAGCAATCATCCCGGCTCTGACTTTATTGACTATTATAGTGATCAGCAATTTTGTGGAAAAGATTTTTTTCCAATTCAATGTACTGTTTGCAAAATATCTTTCTGCATGAGTAATTATGAGTATAACTTACATGAGATTTCTAGTGAACATATTATTTTAAAATATTTTACAACAACAAATCCTTCATTAGTTATGAAACATAATTATGAATATGAAAATGTACAAACTACATCTACTATAAATACAAATTTAATTATAAACAATGAAGCTTTAAATAATAAATGTTTATCTTCAACCAAAGGTACTGTTAGTACTAATCCAGAAAAAAATTTTGTAAATGAAGGTAAATAATAAATATCAAAATTAAAATAGGTATCTATATAAAACAGTGGTTGGCAACCTTTTTGGATTCTGGGGCCACATTCAAAAATTTAAAAAGTTTTCGGATTAAAATCAAATTATTTTACTCTCATTTAAAAAAATAATGGCCAAATGAAGTAGTTGTGCAGGCTGCCGGTTGCCGACCACTAATATAAAGTATTAAATACTAATATATTGAATATTTATGTACCCACTAAAATATAGTTACCTGTGTTGTAAATTATCTTAATATCTAATTTCATATTTAATTTAAATATTTAAATTAACAAAACCTAATATTATGAATTATAATTATAACACATACCTAAACAAATAACTTTAATTTATAAACCATTTTACGAGACTGATTTTATTTAATTTAACAATTGAATTTATATTTTAATAGACCATACGGATATCAAAAAAAGAAAATTACCTATGAATAGCACCATTTCAGAAAACAATAAGCTGTTAATAAATTGTAGCAATGGAAAATCACATTCAGCAATTTCATCTACTAATACCGATCATAACACACAACAAAATGTCACTAATTGAATCTATTTATTTTGTAAACTGTTATTTTAATTGGTTATAAATTTTAGGTACACTTCTCTGATGATAATGTTGATGATGGAGTAGAGATAGCATATTTAAAGTCTACTGCAGGAATTCTTTTTGCCCAACATACTCCAAAAGCCTTGCATCATACAGATGTATCAACAAGTTTTGATGACCTGAGGCAGACGAATATAGTAATGATACTTATTACTATTATTATTAATGCTTGAACTTAAATGCCTAATAATGTATACTCAAGTGGACACTAACCATGACGTGTTTGTTGTCTCTGTCTTTACAACATACAAACAAACATACAACATGGCAAATTTTCATACACTATTAGTGTGCCGTTAGTTTGAAATTAGAGTGGATTTACCTATTATCAGAGCCGTATTTAGGGGAGAGCAATGCAGTATTGTTTCAATAAATAATTTATTTCTGGAAAGAATTTGTATTATGACCCTTGTGAACTTAACGTATAAGTGCTAGAGCCTAACATAAAATATTATTAATATTATTTTAACATAACCACGGTTGTAGATAGATAACCATGACTTAACCATAAAGAACTATAACTAAAAATGTGTTGAGAAAAATCAAAAAAGTGGATCTATTTTTTGGTTGGGGGAGGGGGGCGTAAAATTATGGTTGACCCAGGACTCAAAGATTGTAAATATAGCTCTGCCTATTATCAAACGTTTAGGTAAGAACATTATCTGGACTTAACCGTCTGATTTTTTTCTTTGATATTTCGATTTTCAAGCGAGATAATGAGATATGAGCATTTGCAATGTGTGATATTTCACATACTCATATTACCTTGTTTGAAATTTAAAATATCGAAAAAAATTAGCCTACACATAAGCACAGTTAATGTGTCTAAGACAGAGAAAACAAATGCAATGGCTAGTGCCCTCATAATATGTATGCAGACATGCAGTTAAAAACTAAAAATATGCCTTTATTACTTTTGCTTTTTGGATTCTTATGTTTTTTTTTCTACAGCAAATAATTTGCATTTGGGGACATTTTATATTTATTTTTCTCTTACCTTTTCTACTTACTATTATTATAAATTATAGTTCAAGAATAATTATATGTGAAATTTAATTTTCAAATTTTAAATTACGTGTAGCAATTAAATAATATTGAAGCTAATAGTTTTTGATTTAATTAATTTATCATATTTTTTTAGACCAAAGAGCAAAAAACTATTCAGTCTGGTACACAGTCTAATATTACAACACCGTACAAGCAAATACATCCAAGCGATACAGATCAATTATATGGGCAGTATGTTATAGAAAGACTTAAAAATATACACAACACATCTCTTAAAAGTAATATAAAAATTGAAATAGATGCTCTATTTTGTATCTATACCTAATTAATTTATTAAATGTGTTAAAAATTATTAAGGATATTATGTTATCCCCCCCCCATTTCAAAAGTCACTATTTACTACTAAGCATATATCATTTTTGGAAAATTGTATAGGAGGGGCTTATTTCCCCTAAAAGTATATACAGTATACACTATATTGTATATAGTACATTATAGGTATACAATATAAGTCGTTGAAATAATGCTTCTATTTTCAACTTAAGTATATTTTCTAGTGAGAAAGTGAATCTAGTAGACAGTCGTTACTTTTGAAAGTTTAAAATGGATAATTCCCAGTAGTTTTCAAAAGCGCCACGAAAACAAAAGAAAACGGGGGATTTTTACTCATAACCAGTTTTTGACAAAATCATTTTGATTTTTTGTTAGTAACTAATTTAAAAATAACCATAGGTACATGCAACTTTCACCGAATATTCATATTAACATTTCCTAAATACCATCCCTATGTGCAAATAGAAAGTTGAAGTCTATGCGATGTCCGTTTTAAGTCTTAAATGTTACCACACACAGTGATATCTATGTTCAACTTCATGGATGTATTGTAAAAAAAAATTAAATAGTGATATCTATAAAACATCGTGGCTCAGTGGTATATGAGAAATCACTATGTAATGATACATAGGAGTTACAAAAGTGACATGTAAAATTTTACTATTAATATAAGTAATTCAAAAGATAATTTAATTTGCACTAAAGATCATGGTATTGGTATAATATAAGTGATCAATATAATTAAATTCTTAAATGATAATATTAAAATTGAAGTTATGAATTATAATACATCTACAGTGTTTCAAAATCCCATTTCTTCAGATATTATTAAAATATTTTATACTCATGAAATTATTCCATAGCCTTCTTTAATTTCAATTGATGTAGACTCTATAGAATATAAGTGTTTTTCATTTCCAATAAATGACCATAAGTCCATAGTCTTAACATTACTGTATTCTACATAGGTAGGTAATTGCTGTTTCTATATGTTAGTTTTTGTTTGTACAGAGCGTAGTTATGTTAATATAATTATACATTTTTATCACCTAATTTAAGTTTTTTTTTAATAATATTCAATTAGAATATTATTCAGTTACAAAATCTATAGGTATTATATTCTTGTTTTAAATAAATTGCATTCGTTTTTGTGTACCTACCTACTTTATTTTGTTTTATTTTTATGCCTACATTGATTATTTAAAAATTTGTAATTTTTTGTTCTAACTTGTATAATGGAAATGAAATTTCTATTTTATGTTACTTATTATTATATTTGTTATTTTTAAAACTGTAAAATAAATAACAAATTTAAATAAAAATTTTACTTTTTATCTTATGTTTCCATCAATTGTTTAGTAATATTTTTTCTAAATATTCAAGTTAAAATAATTAGTTTTTTTGTTTATAAAATATAGTTTTAAGTTGTAGTATTAGATTGGCACCTACCTAATCAATGTCTTAATAACAAGTCTTTTGAATAAATGAGTAATTTAAAGTATATTATAATAATAATATACACAAAATTAAAAATTAATATCGTTGGGGACAAAATGGAAGGGGTGTTTAGAGCCTCTTGAATAATATTAAATTAAACAAATTGTTTATTAATTGTATAATATAATTATTTCAGACCGAAATGTAAAAAGGTAATTAATATTATTTTGCAATAATTAGTGGGTATATAGTACAATGTAGGTAATGAACGCGTGATTAATAAAAGACGGTGCATCCGAATTGCATGCCAAAAAAATAAATATAAATCGGGTGGTCCGAATTGCATGCCTTGAAGGGGTATATCCTAGTAAATAACTTACTTTTCAACTGGAGGATCGGGATTTTGTTACACTGTGAATAAGAATCATAAAATAAAACAATTTTTTTCTCATCGACAACAAAGGCCAATAGTTAAATAATACTATTGTAGTTTAGGGTAATCAAGTGAGTGTATTTTAAATAATATTTTTAAACTTGGTGGTTTTTTTTTACATTTCGGGCACACAATATTAAAATTTAAATAAACAAAATAATATCACGTTACAGTATAATAATAATAAATTGGGGGACGAGGTGACCGAGTGGTCTGACGCGTCCGCTGCGACGCAGCCGATCGCGGTTCGATCCTCGGCCACCGGGCGGCATTTTTCTCTGGACAAGTCGCGGTGACCGGAGAACAAGTGCCGCCATCCCCCAACCGGGCATGGCAGAAACCTACGGGTGCCCAATAGAAATTCTGCCAAAACAAAAACACACACGTGTCCCCCCCCCCCTACAGTCCCAAAACTCTACAGTACCACACAACCTACAGCTAATGGCCTCAGTTGCCGAAGCTTAAATCAAAAAAAAAATAATAATAATAATAAATTAAAAAACAATAATAATAGTAGGTAATAATATTATAATAATAGGTAGAATACAATTTTAATAATATAATTATCTATATAGTATATAGTCATAATATATTAAAAATTTAGTTTTGTTTATTTTGTTGTCGGCAATGACATGTATGCCAACTTTTCTACATATAAAAGTCTATTAATTTCATTATTTTGAAATTCCGTCAACACTAAACTTATACTTTTTTCTTTTTCTAATATTTCCCGGCATCTATTACTTAAATTTGAACTACGCATTTTTACATATATATCACATTGTACTTGCTTTAAGACATCAACTAATTGAAAAATATTAGGACTTATATCAATAAACGTATGGTGTACGGCATGTAATCCGGACAAGGCCCTCTAAGAGATGGCATGCAATTCGGACAGACCCCTCCGAGAGATGGCACGCAATTCGGACAAACCCATACAGGAGACGGCATGCAATTCGGACATTTTTTTTTTTTTGGCATGCAATTCGGATAATCGGATGCGGGGCACCTTAGTTGCGTCCCATTAAAAAGGTATACATGAATTGCGTCCCACTATATGGGATAGGTAGTAGAATTTTTATTTCGTTTTCAGGGGTTCTCAAAGGTATATTAACTATAAGTAAGCCACCGATGATGTTGCATTTGCAACTTTTTTCTACTTTTTCAATTTATTACCAAGTAAGTTTTAAATACATTTTTAGTAAGTAGAAATTCAAATCTAAAAATTTTAAGTGCAATTTATTGTAATTTTTGGGATTTTTTCAATTTTTTTGCAATTTTGTTTATTTACCAATTTACTCATTTATACAACTATTTTAGCTAAAGTCGACACTCGACAGTTGTACAGATAAGTTATTACTATAATTTCCCTCTATCAATATGAGCAGAAAAAAGTTCANGCAATTTGATTATGAAGGAAGCTCATTCCTGGTTGAACATTATAAGGTAGGTTACATTTATACAAACCTTTTAGTATTTACTATTTACAATGTAAAACATTTCATAATAAAAAATAAAATGTATTTTCAGGATATATTAAACATTAACGAAAAAAATTTAAAAAGCGAAATGTTGGTGTTCAAAAATATTATTGGTGATAATATAAAGGACTTCAATTTTATAAAAGAAAATTTGAATAAAAAAGTGTTTCCAAATTTATATTTAATGGTACAAGTAGCCATTACTTTGCCGATTTCATCCGCCACATCAGAACGCTCTTTTTCAGCTATGAGGAGGATAAACACATATTTACGGTCCACAATGAACCAAGATCGGTTTAGTAACCTATCAATACTCCATATTGAAAAAGACATTGAGATTCCAATTGAACAAATATTAAAAATATTTATTGATAAAAATAAAAGAAAAATGAAACTTTGAATAAATAAATAGATTTTGTTGTTGTGTACTTGTGTTATTATATTTTTTGGTGAATTTTTAGGGGGTGTGGGGGCATCGCCCCCACGGGTTACTTTTCATATAATGTCAGGTGGGGGCTACAGCCCCCCCAACATTTTAGCCCTAGTTGCGCCACTGGCTTCAATACCTCATATTATTTCATGAGGGGTATCTCAGTAAGGTGTCCCGATAGGTAAGGCGTAAGAATGTGTAGGTTAGGTCGTTATAGGGTTTCGGGTTCGAATCCCGCCAGACCTGCATCACTGGTTTACAGACAATTTTTTGAATCAATTTGAATGCTCAAAATTGACCCGATACGTACCGATACACTCCAAATTCTTTCTTTAAAATCGTACATATATCTCATACTAATTGCCGATGAAAATTACAATGTGATGTAACATAGACCATTATTTTGTGACATCGCATGCACTGACTTCACAAGGTCTGGGTTATCTCAACGTCGTCTCTGACCTCAAATATCGAACTGCACATGTCTCAGTATGACTACTACGTTATTGCTATGCAACTAAATTTTTCACACAAGGATAAGATTTTTAAATATTATAATGACAAAATTTTTTTTTTTTTAGTTCTTTTCCATAAATATCGATAAAAAATTCATCGCTGTGTTAATCAGCTTAAAAATTTAATAGCACTATAGCAGTTCAAAAAATAAAAATATAAAAATACTTAAGCCGCGATTTTATTTTATGAGTATTAATAAATTTCAACTTTAAGATTTTGAACGGAGAGATGAAAGTATTAATTTTAAAATGATGTGTAGCATTTTTTTTTATTATTATCTGTGTCTGTGTACACGATAAGTAGTCGAAATAATTTTTTGATTTTCAACTTCACTATCTTTTCTTCAGAATCTGATTGGTGCATTCGGGAGGTCAAAATTTAAAATTCCCAGTTGTTTTCAAACGTGCCGGGAAAAACAAACAAACAATTAAGAAAAACGGGAATTTGCTTTTATGCCTACTAGTAAAATAAATTACTTTAATCGCAATAATATCATCAAATATACTAAATTACGAAGTAATATAGACTGACAGAGTCAGATCGCCTTCGCTCAGAATCGCTTTTCGTATACAATGATTTTATATCATATCTTCCAAGAAACCTGGAAACGGCTTTTTTGTGTACAATTATAGCTATATATTAAGACGATGTTATTGTAAATTATATTTTTTTTCGTGATTCTATTGCTTACAAAGAATGTAGTCATACATTTTATTGAAATATTTAATTGAATTTAAAATAATAAATAAATATTTAATAAACAATATATTTCTTTATGTATTTTGTTTTTAAAATAAAAAACTTTTGAATATGAAAGGGCAAATAGCTTAATCAGTCACTGATTACAATTATTGTGTGTGTATAGTGTACTAGTGTGTTGTGTGTAGGTACCTACTGCAGTGTATTGTAATTTGTAGTGGATAGTAAAATTCATGTTTCAGTCATATTGTACCTATACATTTGTTACTTAGCACCTATGTACAGTTTCAAAATTAAAACACAGATTATATGAAAATGAATTTAATCTACTGCGTAGTATTAATGGCTAATGCTAATCAGTAAAATTAACTAATTTAATATTACGATAATTTCTAAATAACTAAGTAATATAGGCTGACAGACCGTCTTCTCACAGAATCGTTTTTCTTGTATAATGATTTTATATCATTGAATTCAAATTTAATACCATCCATTACGGTGACCCACTTGTAACCTACCTTACAGAAGCGACTTCCACTTACCCGCTTTTTTCAAAATTATTCCCTTCAATATTTGAAATTATTTTTTAGATAAAAATGTGTAAAATGTTCAATCTTTATAGCTTAGGATTGAAAATGCAAAACTTGGTTTCTCATAAGTATTTTATACTGCAGTAACATAAAAATCTAAAAATTATATACTCAGAATATTTTTAATAGATATTTTAAGTTTAAATTTGGACGAAAATATTAGATATTTAAACAGAGAATAACGATTACGGTTAATTATTCATTCAATTTATTGCTCGGAAAAATCAAAATTTAAAATAGCTATTTTACATGCTATTTGAAATGTAACAAACCTTTGATTAAGTCTCTTTAAAGAAAATGTTAAGTACAAAATTAGTCTATTATTTACAAAACATGTAGATTTTAAAAATTTGTTATGAGAAAATTTGACGACTTTATTTATAGTTTATTTCCTTGAGAGACGTTAAAGTAATATACCATCAGCTGGAACCTGGAAGGATTGATGAATATAGAATATAGAAACTGCGTAATTCACTTAGATAATTTACACAATTTAATAATATAATATAGATACCTATAAACCTATTACATGAATAATTAATGTATGTACCTATCTGGCTACCTATAAGTATTTTCCATTAGTTTTTATTTGTATTCACCTATACCTATACTCTCGTAATCTTACACTCATATGTGCGTTCATTTATGTACCTATAGCTCAAATAATTATTACATTTTCTCACATAAAAATAAGTTTTCTTATTACATACATATGTACTTGATCTAGACTATGCAAAAATCAGGCTTTCCAAAATGACTTAAACCATAAAAATTGCTTCCCTCAAAAGGGAATCTTCCAAAGCGGACTTAGATAAACGTGGGTATTTAATAGACAATAATCAATTCAAAACAATACAATACAATGCCAGTTAAAAATACGCACACGGCACTCTAATAAATCGATGTCTAGAAAAATCTCAGATACAACGCGTCATACAACCTTTCGTTGACGAGATATAATAACGTAATCCTAGAGTTAGTATACTAGCTTAATCCTAGAACAGCGTCAATTAAAATAATGAATTAACCATGCAAGAATCGACGTCGATTAATGATAGTGATAAAATGTTTAGTCCTGACACAGATATCTCTACGTGATTTGTAGAAGAATCCAAAACACTTCAATATCCAGAGTCTCCATTATCCATCCAGTGAAGTATTTATGGGGAAGGGACAAATGCCCACAGACTTTTGATTTTTTGCTTAATGCGTATTTATTTTTGATTATATACAGTGAAACCTCCCTCAACGGACACCTCCAAATAGCGGACGTTTTTTCGGGGACGGGGACATTTTTAATATTTATGTATAGGAAAATCTCTAAATACAGGACACTCTAAATAACGGACATTTTTATGACATTGATATTAATAATTTTTATCTTGAATTAAGAATTATTTTGGAATACCAGAATAAAAACCTCAATTATTAAGTTATCTTATGTGTACATTATTAAACTGTATATGAAAATCTTATTTTTTCCGTTCAGTCACTTTATCGCGTCAACGAAATATTGTAACTAATGCATTGTCCTATGTGCGTTTAGTTGTGTTTATGATGCCAATGTACGAACGTTTTGGCATTGCTAGCAGTAGAAGACATACGTACATATATTTCTTCTAACGAGATACAGAATAGTTCATTGTACTCAAACAAAGTGAAATTAAAAAATGCATTAACACACGAAATAATTACGCCTGCCATTAGTAAACAAACTAAAGTAACAGATTTTATTCAGAAAATAAATGTTAGTTTTTATTTTTATCGTGTACCTATTTAATTAATGTAAAAATAATATAAAATAAAATTATTGAATTTATTTATCTATTGAAAAAAATGTTTTCCTCTAAATAGCGGACACCTCTAAATAGTGGACAAAATTTCGGCGACCGAGAGTGTCCGCTATTTAGAGGTTTCACTGTATTATACTTTTGCATTTTAATGATTTTAAAGTGAGATGTTCAATAGTCCCCCCCCCCAAAAAAAAAAAAATAGTTCACAGCTACGTTACTGTTTACCAAAAACTAAGTCTACTATTCTACATTATATATCTCTAAAAACCGTCCAAGTCAACCTCGATTCCACGAATATGGATATTTAATACAATTATAAGAATAGGTAATCGAAAAACTTCCTCTCCTATATTTATTTTAATAAAATAATCCAAAGGAATTAATTTCTCCGCTTTTTGTGAAGAAACTAAACGATTGCAATAACCGCCAGTTAAATTCGTATTCATGTATGATTTTGAAAAATATAACTTAAAGCTGACAACTTTTAAACCATGTAGAACTGTAGTAAAATATCTAAAGGAAGTAAATTCCGAATTAATTTACAAGTAATGTAGCTGGACAAGAGGTCATAGAGAATCAAGATTTTCAAGGAAGAATTTGGAGTGTATCGATACGTATCGAGGCAATTTTAAACGTTCAAGGAGTTACACGTGCAGTATACAAGCGACACGTACCGACCCGTATCGGACTCGGACTTCGATACGAGGTGGTACGTATCCGATACGTATCAAATTTTTCTTCTTGAAAATCTTGTATTTAAGCCTAACCAGTAACCCTGGGTAGACCTATAGATAACAAGATAACATTTTTTGATTGTTTCTATGTTGTTACTTTTTTAATGATATTCCATAGTTATCATAATGAATCAAATATCATTAATAAACGTTTATGTACCTATAAAACACAACAATTATCAAGAATAACTATAAAGCCACCAGCCACTTGCATAGGTGTTATTTGGGGGGGGGGGTGCCTGGCAGTGCTTAGCACCCCCACATTTGTTCATATAAATTTACATTTTAATAGTCATTATGCAGGTATCCACAACGGCAAGATAGTTTAGCACCCCCAGTTTTTTCATTGAAATTGAGCCAGATAAAAAAAATTGAAGAATTGAAGAATATCATTAAAATGTAAACAAAATTTAAAACTAGACTCATACTCATTTTTGTAAAATTTAATGTGATCTCAGAATCTCAACCCCTCCCCCCACCTTGAACCTATCGATCAGTGTACCTATACCTAATATATCTAACTATATGGATTTACATATAAATACCTATATAGGTAATCTGTAAGTTAATAACCGTATCATAATTTACTGCAGACGACACTCACCCGCACAAGGGACAGTTTATTTTGCCGTCCTGATTTTTGGTCCGGATGCATTTGGCGCAAAACGTGTGGAAACATATCAGGATGCAAGGATCGTTGTAGTAGTCCTCGCACAGGAAACACAGCAGCGGATTGCGACTACAGGACGCAGCCCCGGACCCGTCGTCTGCCGCCACAGCCGCCGCAGAGTCCGACATCCCGGCGGTCTGTAGATTGACGGACGACGACGTCATTTCCGGCGGAAACAATATAGTAATACAGTAGGTAAATTATATATAGGCACCGGTCTAATAATTATAATTCATAATTAATCCATCGTCCGTTCGTTTTATTTTATGCGACATCGACGCGTAAGTACACAGCACGTCATGCCGTAAGACCATCGAGCCCGACGTACGATCGATCCGTGATAATCGGGTCCGGTCGTCTGTGCTGCAAAGTGTAAAAGCGCAAAGCTCCCGCGCCGCGCAGCATCGACTCTGTCCACCCCCTTGCAGGAAATTATCGAGTGGCGCGAGCGTGTGCCCGGTGGCCGTGGAAGTGAAACCGCGGGCGGCAATGTTTTTTCCTCCAGCTCGAAATCGCGGTTGTCGTCAAAAATCGTTCAGCCATCGTCGCGGCCTGATTATTTTTATCAATAATAATAGACCTAATAAGTTGTAATAGCTACTATATTATAATAACAAAATAATAATATAACAGTACGTAATAATTTAGGTATATTATTTTATAAATATTTAATATCGTATTTAGCATTATTGACGAACCGCATTTTCGGCGCACCCGTTCCCCGTTACTCTAACGGAACGTCGAAAAGGTTCACACAATTTTTTATATTTTATCGTTTTCTAGTACCTACCTATCGTCTTTTTTTCCGATCTCAATACCGCTATTACCGCATTCATAGTTGGTTCCCGCCTCTATTTTATCGTTCGAAAATATGCCCTGTCGATCGGTCTAATCGTTTTTTATAAGTATCTACTACAAATTATAGTGCAACTACTGGGTGTATTGTAAATAAAATATAATACCAATATAATGGGACCAAAACCTGAGGACATTTTAAATGGATTCCAAGTGTAAGTTCAAAGTCGAACTTTTGGATTAGTATTGATCAATTTATGTAAATTCAATTTTTTTGTTCTCATAGCAATTGGATGAATTTAAGAGACGCCGATACAGGAGTTGTTTTATGGCAAGGCACCGAAGATCTGTAAGGACATTATGAAATAATCTTGTACTATCTACGATAAGTGAAATAGTGAATTTTCAATTTCTATATGTATTTATTAGATCATTACCTGACAAAGAACATGAAGCCAAAGTACCAAAAAAGATATTGAAGTGTAGAGCTGTATCCAGAGAAATCAATTTTTCATCTGTCGAACCTATGGAAAAACTAAGGTTACAACAAAAAGTACTGTTTAAGGTATGTATCTATTGACTATGTGGAAAAATGTATAATAAATAATTTTCTACATTGTGGATTTCCATAAAACACAATTTACCTACTTATATTATGTCGTGCCATTGTCGTAGTAAACAAAAGAAACTAGTTTTATTTTTATAACTTACTAGGATATTTACTATTTAGATATATTGTTTTGTAACCTAACACTATTTTATTGTCTGTATACATTATTACTTTAATTTATTTAACATTTATCTTTTATACATTATAGGGTCGTTGTCTTGAAGAATGGTATTTTGAATTTGGTTTTGTTATTCCTAACTCAACTAACACTTGGCAGTCACTTATTGAAGCAGCACCAGAATCACAAATGATGCCTGCAAATGTTCTAAAGTATGTTGTACTAAATTATGATAGTATTTTCATTTATCATAAACATGTAATGGTTAATTTAATGTTTACAATTTATTTTTAAAACAATTTACAAAATACAAGAAAACTTTAAATACATTTTATTTAGTTTTTAAATGGTATACTTAATAAATGTAAATTTCTAAAAATATGATAAAATATTCTATTAAATTAATAGTATTTAGTTTATAGCACTAAATAATAAATAGTAGGTGAAATACAATGTTTTTGGGCTGGATACTAATTTTTTTCTGATCGACCTTTTATAAGATTTTTGTTGTCATGGTTACTCATTAACAAAAACATATTTATGGTTCATAGATTTTCCTTGTAGAGGAATGATATCAAATAACATTTTATGCTTTTACTTTAGTCTTAGTATGATAATTGATAATCATTTATTATGCCTTTAGAGTTGGTCATTGCTTTGCCTCTACTCAATTGTGTTACTAATTAGCAGGGCTCGTAAGTTCATGCATGTCAATTTTGCTAAGTTGTATTTAATGCTAGATGACATATATATCCATTTCAAGGAACCATATTTAAATATGTGTAATTTTATTTTAAGTATTTAGAGGTTCTTTGCTCATTTCGCATATGTATGGGTTTTCTATTTTATCGGGGATATTATTCATAATTTTGATATTATGGTAATAATACCCTAATTTTTTTGATGAAAAATGCAATTATTTATATTTATTTACTGCATAAAGTGTATGAGAGGAATTATCGCAATGTAAAATAATTTTAATTGTGAATGTAAATTCATTGCAATCTCAATAATTGCTTAAGATTTCTTCTTTTTTTAATTTTCATATTTTCAGTGCAAATAAATGCATATTTGTGAACTATTAAATGTATATTTTGCCAGTTCTTAGTACATAAGTGCACGCTTATTTAGGCATTTTTTAGGGCATGTACTTATGAGCCCTGCCAATTAGTTATTTCTATTTAATACATACTTAAATTTTTTGTACAAATAAACATTTAAGTTTGAAGTTATAACTTTATTATAATGATACATTTATATATTTTTTTCAGTGGTAATATTGTGATAGAAACAAATTTCTATGATGACGATCTGCTGATATCATCATCAAAAGTTCGGCTGTATTATGTTTAATTATCAAGACATTCAACTTTGTGCACTACTCAAAATATTTAGATAGACAATTTTTGCTTGGTACACATAACCGAGGTCCAAGAACACGGAGAACAAGTCCCTGCTGCTGTGATTATTTAGTATTTTAATTTGATTACTTTTATACGTGGTTAAATATTTTTCTTGATTGTAACAAGTGTTAAACTTATTAATAAGTTATAACTATTCTAAATGTAAAACCATATAGTCCTTATATTCGATTGTATTTTAAGTAATTAGAATGTCATAAAGGATACAATTTACACACAAATATTGATCTTGCTTGAACATTCTAGTATGAAACTAATTTTTTTTTATGAAAAAAATCACTTAATAGCTAATTTAGCACATAATATGGACATTGGTTGGAGTTGTGAAATTATTGTCGAATTATTATTTGTATCTTCACAAAATTACCAGAGTGCGGTTCATTTTGTTTAAATTGTATTGTCTAGCACATGATATTATGATAATGTACTTAATACAATTAATTGTAATGTTTTTTTTGTTATTAATTAAATCTAATAATTAATGGCATATTATATTTTAGAAACTTAAAACCCGCTTACTAAAACATTTTATATGAATAACTATTTTTATTAGTCAATGTTGTTTTATAATTTAAAATGATAAAGGTAGTAAAATGTTTGTACTGTTGTACAATAATACATATTTTGAACCATGTGTAAATATATTGAGTGCTTATTTAAATTACAAAAAGTAAAAGTTTGAACAATAAGAAAAATAAATAGTTTAGAGTTAAATGATCTAAATATTAAAATTATAACTAAATTATACTATATTATAAACAATTATCGAAAGACAGAAAATAAAAATTAATAGTGCATTATTATGTTTATTAATAAGTGTGAAAGCGTATTATCAATCTATAGTCACACTGAGTGAAGTACTGACTACTGATTAAGGTTATACTGAACAAACTTTCTAGGTTTATAAAACAGGCAATAGTTTTTTAAAGTTATTTATAGTATTACAATAATTTTGTCTTAATAAAAAGTAAACACGTATAGAATTACAGGAAAGTTAAACTGTCATCAAATCATTACATTTCATTATTAAAATTAAAATTGAGAGCTATGTACAATATGTCCCGTGGGTGCTAATTACTTGCTAGTTAGTAAATATTACTGCTCAATAAATACCTAATGAAAACAATTGGTGATAGACAAACAAGCATAATGTTAAAACAATAATTTTATACAAAAAAAAAATATTGGTAGACTAAAAAGTATTCAAATTCCAATTGAAATATAGATGTGAATTATATTTAGTTTATAATTTTAATCAGTTTATAAAATAATTTTGTCACTGGGATAATTGTTTGTTCAATATTGTACAACAATGTCTTTCTTGCTTCTTACTTATTACTTTTCTGGTGATTTTGACGCTTGGTCCAAATCTAAGCCTCTGGTCTTTTGGATTATTTTTGTGTATGGCGATCCAAGCAAAGCTTCACCCTTATCAACTTCAGGGTTTTTATTTGGTGTACAAGGTTCTAAAACCACGTTATTTTTCTTTTTAGGTGATTTTGGTTCCTTTAATTTTTTGCTTTTATCTGGAGACCGATAAGAATTGGTTCGACCATGGGTTTGTCTGAAGTTGTACCGTCCCAATTTGGGTAGTTCGACATCGGTTTTAAAAGCTCCTTTACACAACTTTTCACATGAGCAGCATTCACAGTTGACATTGTTTTCACCAAAGAAATTAGCACTATAAAAGCATGTTATTTCCTCACCAGGTTTAATATCTCTAAGCACTTTGACACAGGCCGTTCCTTTATCATTAGGTACAAACTTACAATTGGCCAGGCAATCATGGTTGATATAAGCTGCTGGGCCCAGCCAAAGTTGAGCACATTTTTTGCGACAGCTGTACATCACTGAAAAATCATTCTTTCCAATATGCAATATTTCCTCCTCCTGCTTTTCCGTCAACTCAGCCACACAACCAACTAATCGTTTAATTATTCCATCTTTATACCAATGACTAGTGGCATTTACTTTGGCTCCTACTCTATTTTCTAAAGAATATCTGTAGCATGGTTCTATTTGAAAACCAGAATCCAAATAAAACATTCCCATGTATCTTTCAATATGGTCTCTGACTAATTTTTTATAAGATACCTTAAATAAATGATCAGGTATATACTTTCGATTCCAAAAACTATCAAAAGCTTTTTTCATGCTTTGATTTTTAATGAATTCATCAATAACAGGTTTTAAATGTGATTTGCATTTATACCTTTCTTTATGTTCTATGTTCATTTTGTGAGTATTAAATCCGAGAAAAACATCAACAACAAGAGATGTAGCTAAGTCATCAATATCACACAGTTCTTGAGGCTTCATAATTAATATGTATCTGAAAAATTATGTTATATTTAGTGGTGGAATTAAGTACATAATTTATAAAGTAATAAGACAGCATCTTAAATAACGATTGCAGAAATGAAAAATTAAACTTTTAAGCAAACAGTAAATTTACATATTCATCTTGAGAACATGTACTTATGTATTTTACTATCAACAAGTATCATCATTTAAGTAAATTTATTATAAACTATGTATAACGACAATGTACCTACCAAGATTTTCAATAATCAGCCATTATTGTATTAATTTAAAGCATTAAGTTAAATTTTTTTGTCAAATACCAATTCACATTTAATATTTTGGCATTGGTGAATGGGTATATATTGCCATTACAATTACAATTGGTGGACATTTTAAAACCATAACCTCTATATTAATATTATTAATGAAATGTATGTTTAATTTAATTGTTTGTTTAACAATAGTTAATTTTAGAATAATATCCAATATTAATTGGTGGATGAATACCCACAAAGGCAAGACTTTTAAAATAGATATAGGTATCTATTAAAGAAAACAACAAAGAAAACCATACAAACGAGTACAATCCCGAGTGCAACAGGAGTATACACCCACTTTTATACTAAAAGTTGGCAACTATAATGTATTTTTTGGTTCAAATAAATTGACAGATAACACATGGAAGTAGATGTGGACTATGATGGCCACGACTGTAGATAGAAGATATTCTACCTACAGACGTAATAATGACCAAATCAAAAATCATCAAGTCAAAAACTGTCATGTTAAGAATCTGTAGATTATTTGTTGAAAATGTAACAAAAAAAAAATGGAAATTAAGTATGGATTGGGGCATCAAATCAGTGGTAGAAGACAAGCTTTAACATTTTAAGTACTATCAAATATTATAGTGGTATAATAAAAAATTTACAACAACATGTGAATATGTCCACTTATCAAAATACAATTATTGTGTACTGCTCACTAACACATTACGTCAATATCTACTTGAATGTTTTCGAATTTCAGATTCAAAAATGTTTAAATTCCTGAAAATGTTTAATATCAACTAATACTATAATATTTGATATTAACGTCAACATTTTGTCCGGTCCGTTTTATTAAATTTTTAAACAGTCGTTATTCGGTGTGAATATCTGGTTAAAGAAACAATAAGATTCGGTCGGTAGGTGATTATTAATTACTGCCACTTACCCGAAACGATAAAATCAGCTGTACTACGAACAGCCTAACCACACCAACTTCACACCATTCCGAGCAAGTTCTACCGACAAGGTGACTATCGACGTCCGCGGATTAGCGGTTGAACGAAAAGGAAATCAATATTATTTTAAGACTGTGTATCAAGAATTCAAAACGTATCAAGAGTCAGTCTCCGGGATCTGAAGTCTGAACGCTCGAGTTACGAAAACCGTTATCCCCTTATCACGTCATTATCAACGAATAACGGATGGACGTTAGGAACGTAACGAACTATCGAACAATTTGCCGCGAAAACGATGTAATAATTTGTATGTCTATAGTCTATATCGCCATGTAGAAAAGATAATATCCCCGGGTTGCATGAACAATCACTCAACAATAGTAATGAATCAAATATCAATTGTGAGCCAATGAGTAAATGGCCCTTGATTGGTCTAGTTGGTCTACCAAATTGTATTAAACCATTAATTAATTTTTCATGTAACCTGACATACCTATTGTAAAATTATTATTAAACTGCAGTTGCCAGAATAGGATGTCTGTAGTAAAGAGTATAGGTACACCTGCCGGGGGCAGGACCCGTTTGGACCAGCATTTTCCTTCCCATTTTATTGGGTATTTTACAGGCTTAAGACTGTCTTTGGCTTGGTCAAAAATGCTGCTTCTTATTTTTATAAAGATATAAATATAAATATATATTTTTATATTATAGTAACATAAAATTTGATAAATTATTAATTAGAAATAGAATAATTAGAATATTGTGTTTGTGATAATATTATATAGGTAACCTTAATTAGTATTGCCGAGAGGGCCGTGTCGTAACAGAATATGTCAGATATGTCTATTATCTATTTGCATATACGTATAATGTAACTGGGTTTTTGGTCAGTTATCAATTAGATATAATTTTGTTAATAAAAAATCGGCCCTAACAGGATCACAAAATTCTGGTCCAAACGGGTTGCATTTTTATTAGTGACCCAAACGGGCTTCGACCGTACACAATATATGTGATACCAAAAATGTCACTTATGAACAATTACTGACTATAAGGGTTTAAAATGTAATGCTACCTACTTAAACAAAAATTAACACCTTAAGAAGTAACTTTCACATAGAATTAAAGAAAATTATTGACTCAACAATTATTTTTAACTTCACAATTCATAAAAGTTTCAATTATAATTAGATTTATGGTTATGGTGAGATTATTGAGGATGATTTCAGATCCTCAAAAGTCCTTCCAGTTGCCTGCAGGTTCCTCAATGTATCAGCCAGTCTTTCATTTTCCAAAATACTCTCTCTCATTTAGGTATTCATTTTAATGATTAATGGTGCTACCATACATAAAAGTTAAATTAAAATAATCAATGTTCTTTCGAAAATAATTATGTCTTTTGGATCTGAAAGTTGCCCCTCGTTTCTAACATTTAGATGAGTTTACCCTTATATCTAATGTAATAATGTATTAGCCATAAGGTAGGTATATCCACAGATAAACATTTAATATATTACCTGAGATAATTCTTTAGTTCACGTTTTTACAAGTTGTAATTAGGTTTAATAATACGTCAATAGAAGTAAATCATCAATTAGATGTTTTTAGTCTTGATCATACAATCAAAACGTTTGTTTGTGTTTTTTTAAATTTTAAACGAATGCATTTATAATAGTATTTAATAGGGTTCCTAATATTTTTCTAATCGATACAAAATTAACAAAACATCGTTAGGATAGATTTGACTAGTATAGATTATTTTTGTAACTCGAAGATTATTTTCACGTATTGATCACTACCCACTAGCTAAGCTACCTTGAAGCATCTACGTGCGTATCGTGTTCTATACGTTCCCAGTATTAATTGTCGTATCTATTAAGTCATATAATAAAATATGTCTGCCGTAGATTCTAACAACATCGTAAAGCTAGAGTTAACGGAAGGCAAAAATATGAAGAGGATATTTGAAGAGCTGAGATCGGCAAAGTTCAACATTCCAACGAAATTTTCGACACGGGTTGGAACTTGGCCGCCGTTGAAAAGACACGAATCTACGCCGAACGTGACCACGACTTGTCATCAACCAGCAGGAGACTCCGAAGTCTACGACCAGTGTTTGTCCGCTCCGGCCGAGCTGCCCTGCAAGCCTTTTGAGCTTTCTGACGTGCTGACACAAAACGGATCCACATTCAGTCCATCGGATCTCGAGATGTTCGTTCCAAAGGGCCCAGGATCCAACGCGTCGGTGCAGGATAATGGTGCTGAGATTTCGATGGATACGCCGAAAGGAGTTAATGCGTTATCGTGTACCTCCAAGCAGTGGGCGGCGCCCGAACTACCAGCAACATTGCCCAAAGCCGGGAGACAAGCGAATATATGAAGACTGTTCAGCGCAGAGTCGATGGTCCTCAGCGCCAAATGTACATACATATAACTTTTGGACTGATGAACCATCCGGAACGGGAAACAGAATGCAGTGACGGCAAAGAGCAGGAGTTGGTCAGTGACCCGATAAATCATAAACGGCGTGGCTCAATATGGGGACGGACGAAAAAATTCGTCCGGCGTATGTTTTGCTGTGCCGTTTAGAGGGTGACCGCAACCACTTAGTTACTGAAATACTGAATGAAGTACCTAAATCATTATTACCGAAATAATTAAAAAACAATTTTCGTTCATGAACTTGATTTACATAAATAAACTCGCAATTTTGTTATGCTACTTGTCTAGTTGGTTTCTAATTGAAATAGTATTATATTATAATCAAACGCATCATATTCAACACCCTAGCGTAAAATTAATTTATTTAGCTTGCGTGAAAATCATAACTATATTGTAAATCTCTAACCTCTATAATATTGTACCAAAAAAATCCTTGTATTAAAATTGATATTCAAATAGATTTCCAAATAATTAGGTTCTTTACAGTTATACCTTTATATTATTTAAAATATGTTAGTACAAAGAAAAACTACGTTCTGAAATGAAATATGTAGTTAGTACATAACCAGGGCCGTCTTAAGCTTTGCAGGGGCCCATGGGCACCTGGAGCTAAAGGGGCCCTTTTAGTAGGCCTGCAAAAGTTGAATAAAAATATCAAAAATTTATTTAATATGATTTATTTAATATTAATTAAAAACTATGTACATTTCACTGAATAAAAAAAAAACAATGAAACTTATAGTTTATGTATATCGTTAAGACGTAAGCAACGGCTTTTTTCGAGATTTCTGTTGTGCAAAATCTTCAATTATATCTTCGAAGTCTAGTTTTTGAAGGAGATCACTTTCTATGCACATTATTGACAAATTGGTTAACCGTTCTTGCAACATAGTTGTTCGTAATTCGTTTTTTATTCTTTTTAGTTGTGAAAATGAGCGCTCCCCACTGCAATTGGTGATCATGAGGCAAAGGAAAATCCTTGTGACAACTTCCACGTTTGGGAAGGTTTCTGCTAATTTGTCTGCTTTTATTAAAGAATGTATGTCTAAGATACTTAAGTCCATGGATTCATTTTTGAAGGTTTTCAAGTATTCCCTTAAATGAAAACATTCTGAATTTAATTCATTAGTGTTTATGTCTTCACAATAGAAATCTGCCAATTCTTTGCATTTTTTTTTCAAATGATTAGGTTCAATTGTTCGTAACTGAGTAAAAAAACTAAAACGTTCATTAATTTCTTTGTACGATTCCGATCGTTGCATTAAATGTGTATTTAGCGTGTCGATTATGGGAAGGAACGTTTCTACATAAAATTTTTCTTTACCACTCAACTGCACAGTCTCTGATGGATTTTCCAAAAAAGTAATACGTGTGCTTCGAATTCTTATTCTTTGAAATTTATCTTTATAGTCAGAATTTGGATTAATTTCTTTGGCGGCCGATTCATACTGATCAAAATTATTGCGTGCATTACTAATATACTCGCTAAGTGATGCAAACAGTTTTGTTGCAACGTCCATTGTTATAGTATTATTCTGTAAACTTAAGCTTGTTTTATTTATAGCTCCCAGAAGGTCATTCCATGTCTCAGTTAGGATAACGGTCTCCAATTTTTCCATTTTTTTGGCAAGACTTTGTGCCTCGTTTTTCGTTTCTGCTGATTGATCGGTGTTTTTAGCAATTAATAATAAAGCTTCAAAAATATGATTATAACCATTGTGCAAAGCATTAATAGCATCAGCTCGTGCCGACCATCTGGTTTCAGATAAGTTTTTCAGAACTTTTTGTCCGCCTAAACATACTTTTAATATCTTCCATCGATTGGCTGAACTTGAAAAAAAATTGAACAATTTCTGGACTAATTGAAAGTATGATACTGCTTCTGAAACACATCCAACCGCTTGGACCCCTACCAGGTTCAATGAATGTGCTGCACAAGGGACGAAAATTGCAAATTTACATTGCTCTTTAATTCTTGCCTGTAACCCAGAATACTTTTCTGCCATATTTGCTGCTATTTTTTCTTTTTGGATCGCAAGTCTTTTTCTTTTTTCTGAACCACTCAAATATGTCCTTTTTGACATAATTAAATGAATTGCTCTTTAATTCTTGCCTGTAACCCAGAATACTTTTCTGCCATATTTGCTGCTATTTTTTCTTTTTGGATCGCAAGTCTTTTTCTTTTTTCTGAACCACTCAAATATGTCCTTTTTGACATAATTAAATGAATTGCTCTTTAATTCTTGCCTGTAACCCAGAATACTTTTCTGCCATATTTGCTGCTATTTTTTCTTTTTGGATCGCAAGTCTTTTTCTTTTTTCTGAACCACTCAAATATGTCCTTTTTGACATAATTAAATGAATTGCTCTTTAATTCTTGCCTGTAACCCAGAATACTTTTCTGCCATATTTGCTGCTATTTTTTCTTTTTGGATCGCAAGTCTTTTTCTTTTTTCTGAACCACTCAAATATGTCCTTTTTGACATAATTAAATGAATTGCTCTTTAATTCTTGCCTGTAACCCAGAATACTTTTCTGCCATATTTGCTGCTATTTTTTCTTTTTGGATCGCAAGTCTTTTTCTTTTTTCTGAACCACTCAAATATGTCCTTTTTGACATAATTAAATGAATTGCTCTTTAATTCTTGCCTGTAACCCAGAATACTTTTCTGCCATATTTGCTGCTATTTTTTCTTTTTGGATCGCAAGTCTTTTTCTTTTTTCTGAACCACTCAAATATGTCCTTTTTGACATAATTAAATGAATTGCTCTTTAATTCTTGCCTGTAACCCAGAATACTTTTCTGCCATATTTGCTGCTATTTTTTCTTTTTGGATCGCAAGTCTTTTTCTTTTTTCTGAACCACTCAAATATGTCCTTTTTGACATAATTAAATGAATTGCTCTTTAATTCTTGCCTGTAACCCAGAATACTTTTCTGCCATATTTGCTGCTATTTTTTCTTTTTGGATCGCAAGTCTTTTTCTTTTTTCTGAACCACTCAAATATGTCCTTTTTGACATAATTAAATGAATTGCTCTTTAATTCTTGCCTGTAACCCAGAATACTTTTCTGCCATATTTGCTGCTATTTTTTCTTTTTGGATCGCAAGTCTTTTTCTTTTTTCTGAACCACTCAAATATGTCCTTTTTGACATAATTAAATGAATTGCTCTTTAATTCTTGCCTGTAACCCAGAATACTTTTCTGCCATATTTGCTGCTATTTTTTCTTTTTGGATCGCAAGTCTTTTTCTTTTTTCTGAACCACTCAAATATGTCCTTTTTGACATAATTAAATGAATTGCTCTTTAATTCTTGCCTGTAACCCAGAATACTTTTCTGCCATATTTGCTGCTATTTTTTCTTTTTGGATCGCAAGTCTTTTTCTTTTTTCTGAACCACTCAAATATGTCCTTTTTGACATAATTAAATGAATTGCTCTTTAATTCTTGCCTGTAACCCAGAATACTTTTCTGCCATATTTGCTGCTATTTTTTCTTTTTGGATCGCAAGTCTTTTTCTTTTTTCTGAACCACTCAAATATGTCCTTTTTGACATAATTAAATGAATTGCTCTTTAATTCTTGCCTGTAACCCAGAATACTTTTCTGCCATATTTGCTGCTATTTTTTCTTTTTGGATCGCAAGTCTTTTTCTTTTTTCTGAACCACTCAAATATGTCCTTTTTGACATAATTAAATGAATTGCTCTTTAATTCTTGCCTGTAACCCAGAATACTTTTCTGCCATATTTGCTGCTATTTTTTCTTTTTGGATCGCAAGTCTTTTTCTTTTTTCTGAACCACTCAAATATGTCCTTTTTGACATAATTAAATGAATTGCTCTTTAATTCTTGCCTGTAACCCAGAATACTTTTCTGCCATATTTGCTGCTATTTTTTCTTTTTGGATCGCAAGTCTTTTTCTTTTTTCTGAACCACTCAAATATGTCCTTTTTGACATAATTAAATGAATTGCTCTTTAATTCTTGCCTGTAACCCAGAATACTTTTCTGCCATATTTGCTGCTATTTTTTCTTTTTGGATCGCAAGTCTTTTTCTTTTTTCTGAACCACTCAAATATGTCCTTTTTGACATAATTAAATGAATTGCTCTTTAATTCTTGCCTGTAACCCAGAATACTTTTCTGCCATATTTGCTGCTATTTTTTCTTTTTGGATCGCAAGTCTTTTTCTTTTTTCTGAACCACTCAAATATGTCCTTTTTGACATAATTAAATGAATTGCTCTTTAATTCTTGCCTGTAACCCAGAATACTTTTCTGCCATATTTGCTGCTATTTTTTCTTTTTGGATCGCAAGTCTTTTTCTTTTTTCTGAACCACTCAAATATGTCCTTTTTGACATAATTAAATGAATTGCTCTTTAATTCTTGCCTGTAACCCAGAATACTTTTCTGCCATATTTGCTGCTATTTTTTCTTTTTGGATCGCAAGTCTTTTTCTTTTTTCTGAACCACTCAAATATGTCCTTTTTGACATAATTAAATGAATTGCTCTTTAATTCTTGCCTGTAACCCAGAATACTTTTCTGCCATATTTGCTGCTATTTTTTCTTTTTGGATCGCAAGTCTTTTTCTTTTTTCTGAACCACTCAAATATGTCCTTTTTGACATAATTAAATGAATTGCTCTTTAATTCTTGCCTGTAACCCAGAATACTTTTCTGCCATATTTGCTGCTATTTTTTCTTTTTGGATCGCAAGTCTTTTTCTTTTTTCTGAACCACTCAAATATGTCCTTTTTGACATAATTAAATGAATTGCTCTTTAATTCTTGCCTGTAACCCAGAATACTTTTCTGCCATATTTGCTGCTATTTTTTCTTTTTGGATCGCAAGTCTTTTTCTTTTTTCTGAACCACTCAAATATGTCCTTTTTGACATAATTAAATGAATTGCTCTTTAATTCTTGCCTGTAACCCAGAATACTTTTCTGCCATATTTGCTGCTATTTTTTCTTTTTGGATCGCAAGTCTTTTTCTTTTTTCTGAACCACTCAAATATGTCCTTTTTGACATAATTAAATGAATTGCTCTTTAATTCTTGCCTGTAACCCAGAATACTTTTCTGCCATATTTGCTGCTATTTTTTCTTTTTGGATCGCAAGTCTTTTTCTTTTTTCTGAACCACTCAAATATGTCCTTTTTGACATAATTAAATGAATTGCTCTTTAATTCTTGCCTGTAACCCAGAATACTTTTCTGCCATATTTGCTGCTATTTTTTCTTTTTGGATCGCAAGTCTTTTTCTTTTTTCTGAACCACTCAAATATGTCCTTTTTGACATAATTAAATGAATTGCTCTTTAATTCTTGCCTGTAACCCAGAATACTTTTCTGCCATATTTGCTGCTATTTTTTCTTTTTGGATCGCAAGTCTTTTTCTTTTTTCTGAACCACTCAAATATGTCCTTTTTGACATAATTAAATGAATTGCTCTTTAATTCTTGCCTGTAACCCAGAATACTTTTCTGCCATATTTGCTGCTATTTTTTCTTTTTGGATCGCAAGTCTTTTTCTTTTTTCTGAACCACTCAAATATGTCCTTTTTGACATAATTAAATGAATTGCTCTTTAATTCTTGCCTGTAACCCAGAATACTTTTCTGCCATATTTGCTGCTATTTTTTCTTTTTGGATCGCAAGTCTTTTTCTTTTTTCTGAACCACTCAAATATGTCCTTTTTGACATAATTAAATGAATTGCTCTTTAATTCTTGCCTGTAACCCAGAATACTTTTCTGCCATATTTGCTGCTATTTTTTCTTTTTGGATCGCAAGTCTTTTTCTTTTTTCTGAACCACTCAAATATGTCCTTTTTGACATAATTAAATGAATTGCTCTTTAATTCTTGCCTGTAACCCAGAATACTTTTCTGCCATATTTGCTGCTATTTTTTCTTTTTGGATCGCAAGTCTTTTTCTTTTTTCTGAACCACTCAAATATGTCCTTTTTGACATAATTAAATGAATTGCTCTTTAATTCTTGCCTGTAACCCAGAATACTTTTCTGCCATATTTGCTGCTATTTTTTCTTTTTGGATCGCAAGTCTTTTTCTTTTTTCTGAACCACTCAAATATGTCCTTTTTGACATAATTAAATGAATTGCTCTTTAATTCTTGCCTGTAACCCAGAATACTTTTCTGCCATATTTGCTGCTATTTTTTCTTTTTGGATCGCAAGTCTTTTTCTTTTTTCTGAACCACTCAAATATGTCCTTTTTGACATAATTAAATGAATTGCTCTTTAATTCTTGCCTGTAACCCAGAATACTTTTCTGCCATATTTGCTGCTATTTTTTCTTTTTGGATCGCAAGTCTTTTTCTTTTTTCTGAACCACTCAAATATGTCCTTTTTGACATAATTAAATGAATTGCTCTTTAATTCTTGCCTGTAACCCAGAATACTTTTCTGCCATATTTGCTGCTATTTTTTCTTTTTGGATCGCAAGTCTTTTTCTTTTTTCTGAACCACTCAAATATGTCCTTTTTGACATAATTAAATGAATTGCTCTTTAATTCTTGCCTGTAACCCAGAATACTTTTCTGCCATATTTGCTGCTATTTTTTCTTTTTGGATCGCAAGTCTTTTTCTTTTTTCTGAACCACTCAAATATGTCCTTTTTGACATAATTAAATGAATTGCTCTTTAATTCTTGCCTGTAACCCAGAATACTTTTCTGCCATATTTGCTGCTATTTTTTCTTTTTGGATCGCAAGTCTTTTTCTTTTTTCTGAACCACTCAAATATGTCCTTTTTGACATAATTAAATGAATTGCTCTTTAATTCTTGCCTGTAACCCAGAATACTTTTCTGCCATATTTGCTGCTATTTTTTCTTTTTGGATCGCAAGTCTTTTTCTTTTTTCTGAACCACTCAAATATGTCCTTTTTGACATAATTAAATGAATTGCTCTTTAA